CCGGGGCGGACCGCCCCCCGGCTGGCACCCCGCTTCCTCTTAGTACGCCACTGCCTCCTCCCCCATAGTGTTCTCCCCCTCCCCCCCCTCCCCTGTCCCATAGTGTTCTTTACCCATCCCCTGTCCCATAGTGTTCTTCCTTACCACACCCCTTCCACTGTCCCATAGTGTTCTTTCCCCCCTCCTCTGTCCCATAGTGTTCTTCCTTACCAACTCCCAGCCCCCGTCCCTTAGTGCTCCTCTCTCTCAATCCCCCCCCCCTTGGTACCTGGTTTGTCTCCTACCTCTCTTTGTAGTGTCGAAAAAGTGTAGGAACGCCGTTCCAATTCGTTCCTGCAGGACTCGAGCCCTGCTCCACATGTTGTATGTGCATATCAGGTGGCTTGCGTGGACTAATGCTTATCACTTTTGCCGCTGTCTTTCCTGTCTTGTGCTGGTCACAGCCACAGCACAATGCAGCCCCAGGGCAAGCGGCCCGCATTTATCAGTGAAGCTAAAAAGCTGTCCTTCTAGCAAGCAAAATGATCTCTACTCCTATTGAAATTTAACTATATGATAACCCATAGATCTGGCACAAGAATTGAAAAGGCACGCAATTCAGCCTTGAAGTGGAGAAAAAAAATATCCTACACTCATTACTCGTAGTTATATCCTGGCTGCCTTATCCTTCACTAGTTCCAATTATTGTGCAAAAGCCCAAATTCCATAATCATCACCTCAATTTTTTAAAAAATTTTTTAAATAAAAAAAATCAAAAGCATAATAAAAATGACAATAAAACAAACAAATAATATATGTATATCCACTTTCAATGTATTTTTACATTTAGTTTTTAAATATATATTCCAACATTATAGCCAAAGAGAGTAAAAGATAAAGAAAAAAACAACAACAAAAAACTGATTTGAGATAGGAGACAAACAAACAGAAGAAAGGCAACAACAACATACCCATTCTCTATAGTTTTGCTTATCAAAATGTACCCTTATTCAGATTCAGATTAAGAATGGAATTAGAATCCCTTTAGGGTTGTGGCTGGATTTAAAGTTTGAGTTAGAAATTAAAATCACAACCCTTACATTGCCAACCTTTTGTCCAAAATAATTTAATAAAACACCATACAGCAATGGGCATCAAATGGATCTATCTTTATTTCTTGCCATCCCTGCCAATCCTTTTTAAATTTCTTTTCCTTACCCCTTAGCCAATAGCCCATTTGCTCATATTGGCTTGACATATCTACTCTTGTCAACATATCAAGCATGTCAAACTCGCGGCCCATAAAACGCATGTGGCCCACAAGGGTATATGCTTGGTGTTATAGCAGAGTATGCACCCCACATTGCAGGTGCCTACTCTGCTAAAAGCTACCCGGCCTGGGAGGAGGGCCAGAGAGGGAGCTCAGTGTTCCTGCTCCTTACTGTTCCCTCGCGTGCTGTCTGTAGTGATGCCGGGCGCTGGTGGAATATGACGTCATATTCCAGCACCCGGCATCACTAAACCATGCGAGGGAGCAGTGAGGAGCAAAAAGACTGATCTCCAGACAGAAGATCCCCACATCAGCTCCCAAAGGTAGGGAACAATAAATTAAATGATGTGAGTGCAAGAATGTGTAAATGTGTGTGTGTGTCAGTGAGTATGTGTGTCTATCTGTGAGTGTGGGTGGAGTACCTGGAGGTGCATCGAGGCACGCAACACCATGTTACATTGACGTGCTCCACCTTCACAGGGTTTCAAGAAGTAGCGGGAGGATCAGATTTGGCACAGTGTGGTAGAGGGGGGTGCTGTGGTTTAGTAGAGGTGGGTTACCGGAATTTAGTAGAGGGGGGTGCTGTGGTTTAGTAGAGGGGGATGCTGTTTTTTTTTTTTATACTGTACTTTTTAAAATAAACCTACGTTTCTATGAAAATGTAAGGTTTTTTTGTTTTTTTTGCGGCCCACATAAACCTAAACCTTGTTTATGTGGCCCGTGCCAGACTTTGACATGCTTGTATTAGAGGATCTTTTCATCACCTCAATAGCTCTAAGCCATACTGGTAGGGGGATACAAACCTCTAGATCTTTGTCCCACTTTAACATATAGGGCAGTTTCCCAGTATCCGATAGATCCCTTAAAGCATTGTAGCATAAAGATAAAGATCTATATTTTGATTATGTGTTTATACACAAAATGGGCTAATGAGGTTATTTCCTCGGGATCTAACACATTAACTTTATGCTTCTGTAGGATATTTATAATACGTAATTTGTAAATAATTCACAAGAGGGGAGTGCAAATTATTTTTGAATCTCTGGAAAGCTTTTAATACCCGATTGGGGTAACATAACATATGCACTTTAAAAATTCCACAAGGTGTCCAAATTTGCAAATCAAGATCTCGTGTAAATGCAGTAAGGGCTTCAAGTGGAGCCAATGATATAATTTTGTTTCCTCCCATTAACTTTTCCAACATTCAAGCATTACTATAGATGTGGAAGGCAATTCCAGCTTATTGTGTTGTGTAAGTGTTGCTGTTGACCACACCATCTTATCCAATGTAAGCGGAAAAATACATGTTTCCTCCATTCTGGCCCATAAGGGTTTATTACAAAGTAGAATTGACAAACTATTAGTCAGTAATGAAGCTCTATAGTACAGCATAACATTTGGGATCCCCTGCCCCCCTTTGTTGAATGGAAGCCACAATAATCTATAAGCTACTCTTGGTGGTTTCTAAATCCATATATACGCATTGATACGTTGTTGAAATTGTTTTAACATTGCATTACGTACGGCAATAGGTAGAGTGTGGAAGAGATATAGAATATGGGGCAGGATCATCATTTTAAGAGAGTCCACATGTCCCGGCCATGACACTCCCGAATCCCCCCACTTGCTCATTTGACCTTCTAAACTATATAACAAAGCTGTGTGATTTTCCTTAAACAAAAGAAATGTATTTTTAGTTAATTATACCCAGATAGGTAAGAGATACCTGACGCCAATCAAAAGGGTGAATCGTTTTTAAATACTGTATACTCTTATCCTCTATTCCTACAGGAATCACCTGCGTATTTTGAACAGTATTCCTATAATAAGAAATGCCTCCATACCATGTTAGTAATTTAATTAGATTATCGATTTAATTAGTAGGATCAGTTAAAAAAAGACATCATCTGCGTTACATAGTTACATAGTTACATAGCTGAAAAGAGACTTGCGTCCATCAAGTTCAGCCTACCTCACATTTGTTTTTTGCTGTTGATCCAAAAGAAGGCAAAAAAACCCAGTTTGAAGCACAATTTTGCAACAAGTTAGGAAAAAAATTCCTTCTTGACCCCAGAATGGCAGTCAGATTTATCCTTGGATCAAGCAGTTATTACCCTACATTGAAAGATTATATCCTTGAATATTCTGTTCTTGCAAGTATGCATCTAGTAGCTGTTTGAACATCTGTATGGACTCTGATAAAACCACTTCTTCAGGCAGAGAATTCCACATCCTGATTGTTCTTACAGTAAAACCTTTCCTTTGCCTTAGACGAAATCTTTTGTTCTCCACATGATGTTTCTAGACCCCTAATATCCAGCTTTTGCTTAATAAATCTCACTAAGGGTTCTATGCTGAGAATAAAAATTATCGGTGAGAGCAGGCAGCCCTGCCGCGTACGGTTCATGATACTAAATATTAAGCCAGTATTAAAGACTTTAGCCAAGGGTTTAGAATCTAAAGCTAATATGCTCTGTAAAAATGAGGGAGAAAATCCCATATTAAGCAGGGTGCTGCTCATATATGCCCAATTTAGACGATCGAAAGCTTTTTTGGCATCTAATGCAAGAAGCTAATTAGCATTGTCTAGTAGAGTTTGCCCATTGTATCAAGTTTATGGCATGTCTGGTATTATTTGCCACTTGCTTACAAAGCCAGCAAGCACTTGGATTAAACAGTTTACAACTGACGTTATTCAAATAGGGGATTTTTGACTGTTGATACTTTGATTTTCATTTCTTAGTGTCATGAATAGCTGATGCCCAACACGCAGAACTTAAGTAGATAAAAAGAAAATTCCTAAGACGTATTACCAGGCCATAGAATGGCTGGATTTAATGTATAAAGGATAAACCACAAGACCGGAATAAAGACAAGACGTAGAAATAAGGGAAATGATGAAGAAGCCACGAGTCAAGGAATGGAGATATCAGAATAGTCAGGAGCCAAGCCACAGGTCAAGGAATACAGAGATCGGATAGTCAAAAGGGAAGCCACGGTCAAATACACAAGAATCAATACAAGGAACACGCTCTCGGATAACCACAATGGAAACCACGACAGGGCAAAGAGAAATGGACAAAACAGGATTATATAGTCTAAGATGCTACCTGATTGGCTGCAGGGAAGCATGTGATCATGGGCGTGTGTGTAATACACCTACATGAGTAATAATGATCTGGCCCTTTAAGGTGTTACTGCCAAAGAACACCCCAATATGTGTTCAGCAACATCTCCTGAGTACAGCGATACCACCCATGTATAGTTGTGTTGGGTTCTCTGGGGGCTAAAAGACCTTATTTGGAGGGTGCGCATTCCAGTTTTCCAACTTGGAATTTTCAGTTAGTCATCATGCACCCATGTCCCATTTGGGACATTTTTGAAGCAGGACAATATAATTTACCCCCATCAAACCATATATTTTTGAAAAGTAGACACCCTAGGGTATTTCAAATGGTGGTAATTTAACACTTTCCATGCACTAATTCTACCACCAGTCTCTGTCAAACATTTGGGTAGTCATTTTTTTGTGTTATTTTTCACACACATTCTACTTTAGGCATGGATTATCAGCTCCTATTAAGGTGTTACCTTGGATTGTTTGTGGGGTTCTTTGCCTATCTTCTTTTTGGGGGCCTTTTCAGATATCCCAATTTATTTTCTTGCCATGAGCGTGCATATATTTGAAAAGTTGACATCCCACGGTATTGTATATGTGTTTTGATGCCTTTAAAGCAATAGTTTTAGTCAAAAATTGGAGAAAGTGTGTGGTGGTAATTGTTAAATTTTCATTTGTACACACACATTGCTTTTTAACTGTGATTTAGGAGAGCCTGTTGTTGGTTATTGCAAGAAAACACTCCAAGATGTTTTCTGCAAGGCCTCCTTAGTACACCCATGCCCCCCAAGCATAGGTTTGCCTGGATTTTGGGAAGGTCCAGTTACAATTGTATGACTTGTAATTTGAGTTGAAATTGAGAGTATTTCTTCTGATAGGCCTATCTTTAGCTTGGGGCTTATCACATACCCAAGTTTTATTTATTGCCATGAAAGTGTATATATTTGAAACGTAGACACCCTGAGGTATTGTATATGGAGTGCTTTGATGCAACTGTTTTAGCCAAAAAAAAAAATGGAGAAAGTGTGTGGTGGTAATTGTTCAATTTTCATTTTTACACACACATTGCTTTTTGACTGTGATTTAGGAGAGCCTGTTGGTTATTGCAAGAAAACACTCCAGGTTGTTTTCTGCAAGGCCTCCTTAGTACAAAAATGCCCCCCACGCATAGGGTAAACGTAACACAAAAAAAACTGAACGGCAAATGTTTAAAAAGAAATTGGACCAGTGTGTGGTATCGTTTGAAGCAGTCCCCAATGCAGAGTCCAGGCTGTCCAGGGCAATCAGGGGATTCTGCTTTGCCGCAGTAGGGGGAATTTTAAAAATAAAATGTATAGCCCCAACTCTGCTCTCTCCCATCACCGCCCGGGGAGCATGTGCCTCACGGTACAAAATCCCCTAAATGATCTGAAGCTGAAACTGTAAAAAAGTCAGTTGCATTCCGGGGTTTGCTTTTTTGAACAACAAAAAAGTGTTGTGGGTTGCAATCTGCATTAGGAGGTAGATTGCAACCTTTTTGTACCAGGCCCTTGTCTTGCGTATAATTACGCAAGCTGATCTGCCAGATCAACCCCACCCATATGCCGGTTATAGGCCTTGATGCACACTGGCTTCCTTGTGCTCTCAGCTCTGCCACGTACAGAGACCTCCACAGTCCTCTTAGTCTGGATGGTGGTAAGAAGGTACACATCCTTCTTGTCTCTGTACTTAACTGCCAACAGCTCCTCTTGGCACAGTGCTGAGGTCTCTCCCCTTCGTAGCCGGGTGCGTGCAAGTTGTCCTGGGAAACCTGCGTGGTTCTTTTTTATTGTACCGCAAGCTAATGTATCAAAACAGTACAGTAGCTTGAACAAAGGGACACTTGTATAACACTTGTCAGTATACTCTTTGTTCATCAGGGGGAATATCAGGTCCCAGACAATCTTGCCACTCGTTCCCATATGTTCTGGGCAAGCTGGAGGGTCAAGGTGGCTATACTTTCCCTCATACACCCGGAAGGCCTGAGTATACCCAGTCTCGCTATCACAGAGCTTATACACCTTTACACCATACCTAGAGCGGTTGGAAGGAATATGCTGCTTGAATCCCAGCCTTACCTTATACTTCATCAGGGATTCATCCACGCATATATTCCTTCCAGGTGTATAAGCCTCTGCAAACCTGGCAGCGAAGTGGGTAATCAGGGGGTGGATTTTATACAGCCTGTCAAACTGGGGATGCTCCCTAGGGGGGGCACAGGCTGTTGTCGCTGAAGTGCATGAAATGCAGAATCATTTCATACCTCTTCCTCGACATACATTGGGAGTAAATGGGGGTAGAGTGGATGGAGGGCTTCTTTATGATGCCCATCAGCATAGTCAATGCCCAGAATCTTTTAAATTCTGGCATATCGATGGGGGCCCATTGCTGCTTTCCCAAAAAAGATTCAGGCTTTGCAGCATGGTTCTGATGGGCATATAAATTAGTTTGGGCGACAATGTTCCCCAATACACCATCGCCCAGAAACACCTCCATAAACTGCTGAGGGCTAAATCCTGCGACATCCAAATTGATGCCAGGATTTGCAATGAAGGGTGGGATATCTGGCCTCTGGCGATGAGGTACTACCCACTCCTCAACAGCACTGCCAGCTGGAGCAGCACGTCTCCTTCTGGCAGGGGGACTAGCAGGCACAGATACAACATAAGTAGATACATCACTAGCAGCAGGCACTGTATCTAGTGATGATGTATCTGAGCACCTGGCAGGGTCAAAATAAGGGTTGGAGTCTGACATAGACGCGTCAGACTCTAACGCAAGGATAACATACGCCTTCTCAGTGCTATACGACCGCTGTGACCCGTGTGACATGATCACAATAACTTTTTTTGATCTGTCCCAAAAAAACTAAATACGTTCTGCTGTGCAAGAGCCTGAGATATATACACTGATCACTGGCAGGACAGGGGTTAATAGCTCTGAAAAGAGCTTTTGGGTCTCACAAAAAAATTAACCCCTATAAAAAAATACACAGACAGCAAAAAAGTGCTGCCGTGCAAGAGCCAGTGATTATAGTGATCACTGGCAAGATAGGGGTTAATGGCTCTGAAAAGAGCCTTTGGGTCTCAAGATTTTACAAATCCTACCTAAAACTATCTAAAACTACCTAAATCACTCTAAATCTTTCTAGCTAAAGCACAGATCTCTCTCCCACCAAAACACAAGTGAATAGAGGGAGGGAGATTCACACTGATCAGACTATATTTACTAATATTGAACTGATCAGACAAATGGGGATCATAATTACAATAAAATTGTTATTAGGGCAAGCTCTGGTTGGATGACCCTAGCCTGCCCCTATGATGAGGCAGGCTAGGGACATCCCCAGAAGCCCCAAGATGCTCTGCCTTTAGAAAGGCAGAGCCATCTTGGGAGCCACATGGCTGGGGGAGGGAGGGTGGTTATTATATATTACGAGGTCCTTAAGGACCATTTTTTGTCGGATGTGCCTGGTACGTCCGTGGTCGGGAAGGGGTTAAGGAAGCAACTCTTGGAAACTTCTCATGCCTCCAGATTTTTCAGGCATAATGGTACCCTTAAGACTATTTGCCTTATAAAAAGAGAGTTTTAATGGCTAGATTTGATTAAGGATGTCAGAGAATTTGTAGCTGTATGTTCCCCTTGTGCCCAGAAAAAGGTTTCACATTCCCTTCCCTGTGGCTTATTCTTTCCAATACATATTCCTGGGAAACCATGGTCCCACCTTTCCATGGATTTTTTTTGTAGACTTGCCTCTGTCTACAGGTTTCTCTACCATCCTCATTTTCTAAAATGGGTAATTTTGTTCCCCTTTTCTAAGTTACCATCTTCTGCTGAACTGGCCGAGGTGTTTGCTAAAGAAGTAGTCAGACATCAAAGGCTTCCCACGGAAGTAGTGTCATACAGAGGGAGCTACTTTATCTCTTAGTTTTGATGGGAATTTTGTGAAGAGATGGGCATCCATCTCTGCATATCACTCCCAAACTAATGTTACTGAAGAAATATCAAACAAGTCTCAGGAGCATCGCTTTATCTTTGAGAACCGGTCTGACTTGCTGCCTTACATAGTAGTGTAGGTTGAAAATAGACTAAAAACCTAAAGTCCAAACCTATTCTTTTATGCTGTTTATGTAAAAGGAGGGGAAAATCCAGATGTAGCTTTTTCAAATTATGCCACAAAAAGGGAAAAAAATGTTTCATGACTCCATAATGCCAATTAGACTTGGTCATTCATTTTTAGACGAACACATTTAGTCTGAATTTCAGATATTTTTCTGGAAGACGAATGAATAAATAAAACATTACAACAAATGAAATGAAGAACAAACGGCTTGTTCAAAATTTCATTTGTGCAATTTGTTCTTTTCTTTGTTTTATATTACAAAGAGGGAGCTACAGGCAGATGGTAATCTTGAAAACAAGATACCAAAGCAAATACATCCTTATCCAGGGTGTATTAGCGGCAAAATAGCAGGGCAGGGTCAACTGAAAGTTGCCTTGTGGAACTGAGCTAGGATAACTTTGTTACACATACTGAATTGTTTTTTTCAAACCAATATTTGCTGAATCTGCTTTTTAGCTAAATACATAATTTATAAACCAGATGACTGTTGGCTTATTTTATTTTACCTTTCACATAAAAATATGTTGTGGCAAACTTCACCACTTGTAGCGTGCTGGACTATATATATAAAAAGGTTGTCTGTAATAACCACTGTACTATATGTATAACCTTGTTTGATAATGTTATGTGTATGGTATTCGTATGCTAGCAGCCGAAAGCCGCTAGCATTCATGTGTTTCGTTTCACAAACAGCGACTTTACTGGCTGTTCGTGAACCGAATGAGCTACTCCCTAAAAGCCCACACATAGAGGGACGTGTGGCGCTCATTAACCGATTGCAACAATGTCGGCCATCTTGAATCCTTTGTCTCACCAGCGGTGTTTGGTCATCGAGCGCGTGGAACTGAAAACGGCTACTCGACGGCGCGAACACCGCTGGACTTCCAGGCCGTTCGGGAGCTCCAGTCTTTCGTTATTGTGGTTCATCATCGGTGTTCGGTACGTTTAGCGAACTCGATGGCAAAGTGTATTTCGTGCGGCGTTCGGTTGTTTTAGCTGGGATCTGAGTGGTATTCCCACGAAATGTGCGCTCAGACCCCAGCTATCTACCGAACGTCCATTCGTTT